TGCATTACTATTTTAATTCTAAATTTTTAATATTTTTAAAATTGTTTTTATTGAGCAATATATTTTTCTCCATTCCCTTCCTTTCCTCTTCCTTCTCCTTCTACCCTCTTCCATGATCCCCATGCTCCCTATTTACTCAGGAGATCTTGTCTTTTTCTATTTCCCATGTGGATTACATCCACGTATGTCTCCCTTTGTTGTCTAGATTCTCTGGGATTATGAATTGTAGGCTGGTTTTTCTTTGCTTTATGTCTAAAAGCCACTTATGAATGAGTACATATGATATTTGTCTTTCTGGGTCTGGGTTACCTCACTCAATATGATGTTTTCTAGATCCACCCATTTGCCCGCAAATTTTAAGATGTCATTTTTCTTTTCCACTCTGAAGTACTCCATTGTGTAAATGTACGACATTTTCCTTATCCATTCTTCAGTCGAGGGGCATTTAGGTTGTTTCCAGGTTCTGGCTATTACAAATAATGCTGCCATGAACACAGTTGAGCACATTTCCTCGTGGTATGATTGACCATCCTTTGATTATATACCCAAAAGTGGTATTGCTGGGTCTTGAAGTAGGTTGTTTCCTAATTTTCTAAAAAAAATAGCCATAATGAAATCCAAAGCGACTGTACAAGTTTGCACTCCCACTAGCAATGGAAGAGTGTTTCCTTTACCCCACAACCTCCCCAGCATAAGTTTTCAACAGTATTTTTTATCTTGGCCATTCCTACAGGTGTAAGATGGAATCTCAGAGCTGTTTTGATTTGCATTTCTCTGATGGCTAAGGATGTTGAGCATTTCTTTAAGTGTCTTTCAGCCATTTCAGATTCCTCTGTTGAGAGTTCTCTGTTTAGGTCTGTACCCTATTTTTTACTGGATTATTTGTTCTTTTGATGATCAATTTCTTGAGTTCTTTGTATATTTTGGAGATGAGCCCTCTGTCTGATGTGGGGCTGGTGAAGTCCCATTTTGTAGGCTGCTGTTTTTGTCTTGGTGACTATGTTCTTTGCTTTACAGAAGCTTCTCAGTTAGTGTCAGAAGGTCCCATTTATTAATTGTTTCTCTCAGTGTCTGTGCTACTGGGGCTATATTTTGCAAGTGATCTCCTGTGCCAATGCGTTGAAAGTTGGAAGTGTCCTTAAAACTTTCTCTTCTATGAAGTTCAGTGTGGTTGATTTTAAGTTAATAACTGAGAGAAGACAAAGGATTCCCCCCCCCAAAAGCCAAACACTAAATAAGTTCAGTCAAAATAAGCAATCAAACATACTGCAAGTTGAAGTGATGATTGTCACTGCAATTAAGTTTCTGTCTCCTGTCCCCAATCTTGTGACTCGCTCATCAGATGGTATAATTGAGTATCCATGTCTTCAGGAAAAGGGAAACTTTTAAGGAGTGTTTAGACATTTGAGGGACAAAGCGGTTAGCCATTATTGTGCAAGCTCAATTAGAATGTCCTTTCCCTTGCCTGTTAAGAAAATGAGGGGCTCTTGCCCTATGTTTTCATCAGAGACTTACATTTCTTCTCTTCCACAAGTGCTTGCGTAGAAAAGTTTGCTTACGCTTTAGAGGGGCCGCGGGCACCACGAGGCTACAGTCCTAGTTTGAGAACATAAAAGGTCAACTAAGGAGTATTACTTTCCACTTCCTGTATCGGCATTTCTTCTGTATGTGTGTGCACATGTGTATCTGTGTGTGCATGTGTGTGTCTGCGTAAGCCAGGAGACAATCTCAGGAACATTATCCCCCAGCTTTGATCCAAGTGTCATTGGCCTGAAGCTTACCAATTAGGCAAGAATAAATATCCAACAATCCTCAGGGACCCTGCAGCCTCTGCCACCCCTCAAAAGCTGGGGTTCCAAGAGCACCCCATCACACCTGCCTTTTTCTGTGGGTGCTATGGGTCAGATTTGGCCCTCATGTGTGTGGCAAGCGTTTTATCAACTAAGCCGCGTCTGAGTGCCTGTGTCACAGTTAGCTGAACTGCTTCATTGGTGCAGGTTCAGGAGTCAGATTTAGCTCAATAATGAATGGCTTGTTGGCTGCACACCTGTGACCCATGGCCAGGCATGCTGGGTCATAAAGTGTGCCCTAGTCTGCAGTGCTCTGTGTCCCTCCTCACACAGGACGCATGGCATTGGCTGAGGCATCTGCAGAGAACCTAGCAGAAGTCACATGTATATCAACTACTATTTAAAAACAAAGTTCCAAAGCAGTTTGTTATCTTGGGAACAAGAACCAGCAGTAGCAGCTCTGGGAACATAATTTACTTAGAACTGAGCTTGGGGTTTCCACCCATTAACTACCAGATGGCAGGACAGCGAAAGTCAGTGGCTCCAGCCTGCCATGCCTGGGCTGTCATAGCTGCCTCTGGGAGCTTGACATTTAGTGCTCATGACAGCCTCTGAGACGAGCACACCACTGTCACACATCACAGCAGACAGCAGCACCTTATGTCAAGGGACCAGAGAAGCATTGGCGCGTGACTCTCTATGTGAGGCACTAAGATAAATAGAAAAGAACGGTGCTGTTCCGGAAGGGGCTAGGCACTTCGGTCCTCCTTGCTGCACCCTCGCCCCCTCCCCACCACAGTACAAATGATACTGCAGAGCCTGGGTCTCAGACTGGGTAAGCAGAATGAATTCTTCATACCTGGGGCAGAAGCATTGGCTGTACCTAGTGACAGTCACTGATTTCTAAGAAAATGGATTTCAGGCTGGGAAGACGGTTCAGTGGATAAAGTGCTCATTCCACAAGCATGAGGACCAAAATTGAAATCACTCAGAGCCCAAGTAAAAAACTGGCAAGCAAGGAGACTTTCTTTATGCTCAGCCCTTGGGAGGCAGGGATAGGGGAACCCTGGGGCAAGGAGGCTCACTAGACTAGCTGGAATCAGCAAGCTCTGAGTCCTGTTTCAATGAAGTGGGGGTCTGAGTTCAGCTAGAAATCCTGTCTCAATAAAGTGGGAGGACTTAAGGAAGACATCTGACATAAGCTTTGGACATGCATATGCACACATACATGAATGTGAATCCACACACGTGAGCTCACATATATGCATGAGAACACATATGCATAAAGAATATGGCTCTCTGGGACACATTGTAAAATTGATGCATTTGTCTTCTTTTTTAAGAAAGATTTATGTGTTACGTATGTAGTGTTTTGCCTGCATGTGTGCTTGCACACCAGAAGAGGGCACCGGATCTCATTATAGATGGTTGTGAGCCATCATGTGGTTGCCTGGAGTTGAACTCAGGACCTCTGAACAAAGCAGCCATTGCTCTTAACCTCTGAGCCATCTCACCAGCCCTGCATTTGTTTCCTTAACACAACAATGAAATTGTTTAGCATCTACTGTTAGCCCCGGGAGATGCAGAGACAACTGGCCTTTGGCTCCTGTCAGTCCCTCTCTTGTATTTAGGAGATATCATAAACCAAATCTAAGAGGCTGCAGAGGTGGCTCATGGGAATGCAAATATGAAGGCCAGAGTTCAGATCCCCAGAACGCTTGTGAATGCTGGGCAGCCATCAAGGTTCACCGATAATCCAAGGTGATTGGGGGAGAGGGAGGGATATGGGAGGCAGTGGCGGGGAAGAGACAGAAATTTTTAATAAATAAATTTAAAAAAAAAAGAAGTGGAGCTAGGATCCTTGAAGCAAGCTGAGTAGCTAAACTAGGCCAAGTACTGAGCTCTGGATGCAAGTGGGAAACCCTGTTGCAGTACAGAAAGGGGTGTATTTAAGGAAGACACCTAACATCAACCTGTGGCCTACATACCCACACATGAGCATGCATTCGTACTACACGTGTGTGTAGTACACACACACACACACTTGTACATACACCCCACACACATACATACACAAAAGAAGAAATTTTGGAAGAGTCTTACAACAACATATTGGAGCAAACAATTTTGTACTTTTTTAAACCTTTCATTTAAAACTTCTTCCATTCAGCTTCATTATGCTAAGGCTCACCTATGTCACTGCTCACAGCGGCAGCACTTTCTCTTCATCGCTGTATAGTATTCCGTTTGGGCGCTATACCGTCATTCACTCATTCTTCTGTTGGTAAAACCCTGGGATAGGTTTGGGCCATGCTAGAGTCTTTTCATATACAGTACCTGTGAACGCGTGTGGAAGAGGCCTTGTGTCGACAAATGCCTCCTTTTGTAGAGAGGAAAGGTGAACCCTAGAAATGGGATGATGGCTTGATCCTGTGTAGGTTTACGTTTAAGAAAGTGTGGTTCAAGCCGGGCGGTGGTGGCACACACCTTTAGTCCCAGCACTCGGGAGGCAGAGGCAGGTGGATCTCTGTGAGTTTGAGGCCAGCCTGGTCTACAAGAGCTAGTTCCAGGACAGGAACCAAAAGCTACGGAGAAACCCTGTCTCGAAAATCAAAAAAAAAAAAAAAGTGTGGTTCAGGGACTGGAGAGATGGCTCAGAGGTTAAGAGCATTGCCTGCTTTCCAAAGGTCATGAGTTCAATTCCCAGCAACCATCTGTAATGGGGTCTGGTGCCCTCTTCTGGCCTGCAGGCATACACACAGACAGAATATTGTATACACAATAATTAAATAGTTTACTGTCATAAAAAAAAAAGAAAGTGTGGTTCATATGGCAGCCCAACTGCTTCCAGTAGGATGATGTGAGGATTGTTAGCATGTTATTAAGGCGTGTTCTGAATTCTATAGAAAAAGTACATACCCCAAGGAGTGGGGAGGGAACTGAGGCCAAGAGAGAAAGCTGTGGTTATAGGAAACAGGCATCAGCTCTCATCTTGGCTTCATGACTTATGTCCTGTCCCCGCCATACAGCAGTTTTCTCAGCACTCTTTCCCCAAGAGAATCCCTGAGTGTTCATCCATTACTGAAATACCAGGAAGGACTCAAGATCCCCTGCGTGCCTACAACCCAGTGGGTTCTGCTCTGCAGAGACCCTCATCTCTGAAGACCTGCACAGTCCAACAACCTAACCAGCTGCCTCTCCTTTCTCCAGGGGACACTTGAACTGGCTTCAACTAGATCGGAGAGTCCTGGAGCATGACTTCCCCAAAAAGTCTGGACCTGTTGTTCTGTACTTCTGTGTAAGGTAGGCACTCCTGGAATCCCTGCTCTGGCTTCTGTGTTCTTTATCAGAAAAGTCTGGAAGGATGAAGAGACTCAAAGGAAGAGGGAGATCAAGTATCTCTTGGTCTGTGGTTAGGGACAAAGGTCATAGCACAACTACATTCTGAGAAGATGAAAAGTCAGGTATGACTTCTCTGGGCCCATCAGTGTGTGCAGTGGCCACACAGGTTTGCATGTTTGTGTGAGGATACATGTTGCTGGGCCCATCAGTGTGTGCAGTGGCCACAGGTTTGCATGTCTGTGTGAGGATACATGTGGAGTGAAGATAAAGTTTATTTGGTGGGAGCAGAGGGAGAGAGTCACACATCTCAAAGTAAACTGAGTCTTGTATCGTGTCACAAGTCCTGGGATTTGTTCTGGTGCCACGTGAAGCTCCATAAGAAGCTTCTGTGACTGTTGCTTCTGTCCTAAGTGCCACTGGGGTCCCTTGAAATGTACGGATTTATCTCAGATAGGACTGGTTGAAATTCCCTTCTGGCAAGGAAGGGTAAAGTGGTCAAAAAAATGTCAGAGGGCTGAGGAGATGGATCAGTGAATGAAGCACTTGCAGCTTAAGCTTGAGGACCAGAGTTCAAATCCCCAGTGTGTGTGTGTGTGTGTGTGTGTGTGTGTGTGTGTGTGTGTGTGTGTGTATGAGAGAGAGAGAGAGAGAGAGAGAGAGAGAGAGAGAGAGAGACTTGCCTATAGTACAAGTGCTCAAGAAGCCGAGGCAGGGAGTCCCTGGGCCAAGCTGGCTAGTTAGACTTGCTGAATTAGTGAATTCTGAGATCAACACAGTAAATAAAGAGGAGAGCAATCAAGGAAGATACCCGAGGTCAACTTCTAGCCTCCACCTTCGTGGACACATGCAAACATTCATGCACATACGCAAAAGGAAAAATACAGTGTGCGCTTCCCTGTTTGAACAGATTTTACTCGACGTAACGTGGGAATTGTATTTGTGATGGAGTGACATGATTTGTGTGTGTGTGTGTGTGTGTGTGTGTTTACATGTATGCATGTGCACGTAGAAACCAGAAAACAACCTCATGCATCATTCCTTGAGCACTATTCACCTTACAATCTCTCAGTGGCTGGGATTTGCAAAGCAGGCCAGGTTGACTAGCCGGCAAGCCCCAGGGAGCCACCTGTCTCTGCTTCCCAGTGTTGAGTTACAAAAATGTGCCACTATGCCTGGATTTTTTAAAATATGAGTTTTGGAGTTCACACTTAGGTCTTCCTGCTTACAAAGCCAGCACCTTGCTGATTGCATTCCCTTCTCAGCCCCATGATTGAGTTCTCTTCCCAGCCCCATGTAACACTTTTTTTTTTACTTTCTCATTGTTGCTGTATGTGTGATCTTGATGTGTATGTGTGAACACATACATGCCACCGCGTGCATGCGGAGGTTAGAGGACAACTTTTTGGAATTGATTCTCTTCTTTCACCTTTATGTTGTTTCCAGGGAGCAAGCTTGACAAGTGTTTTGAACAGGCTTCTCTCCTGCCCCTAATAAAGGGCTTTTTAGGTTTAACCATTGCCCTGTCCTCTGAAGACCCTAGGACTGGTCACATCTGTTAGCAAAGGGGTGTAGCAGGCCAGAGGAGCAGCACAGTCAGGAGCTAGAGCTCCCAGGCACACGACCCTGAGCACCCAACTTAGAGCCATCAACATTCCTGCAGAGATAGGAAGGGCTCGGTTTGTTTTAATTTCTTCTTCTGGTACTGCGGGTTGAACCCAGGACCTTGAGCTTGCTAACGACCATGCTGCATCCTCAGTTTTCACATGCAAAACGGCCACTTTGTGAAGTCTACAGGCCCTGCTCCTCTTAAACACACTCATGGAAACCAGGAGTGGGATGCAAGGGGCTTGAACTCATCTCTCCATGAAGAGCACAGGGCTACGGTTCTAGACTTGGCGGTCCTGACTCACAACCAGCATTCAGCAAGTCTCAAGCAAAAGCGCTAAAGGGTCCATTTAACAGGCTGGGGTGTGTGTCTTTACCTCAGCTGGTGGAGTAAATTTCAACTTGCGGTTAATGCCTTTTTGATTTGCTTAACAGCTGCAGGGATATCAGAGCTAATCTCAGCTATTTCCATTGCTGATGGGAATGATTTCAATGCCATATTCTCCCTAATGGTGTCTCAGATGAATGGGAAATGACCTTATAAAACAAAGACTAACAATTCCAGTGAGGGGGAAGATAGGAGTAGGCAAGAGTTGGTTCATTAACCTATAATCGTAGGTGGAGGCATATTCTTGGCCACATGTTGGGTGCCCCCTCCTTCCCACAGCTTTTTTTTTCCATAATTGAGATTTTATTGTTTGTGCTGAGAGTTGGTACAAAGACATTTCAATTTATATACAGCTTATTATTGCCATTGTTATTATCAGTGTGTGTAAGTGTGTGTGTGTGTGTGTGTGTGTGTGTGTGTGTGTGTGTGTGTGCTTGCATGTCACAGTGCATATACGGTCAGAGGGCAGAGGGCAGCTTTGTGGAGTCACTTCTAGGGCTCAGTCTCAGGTTGCCATACGTGTTCGGCATAGCACTTTCTTCGTCAAGCCATTTGCCTGGCCCAATCTGTGTGCAATTGCTAACATATGTCCTAGAAATCTGTGTATTGTGATTCGTTTTGAAATAATTATTCCAGCTCCCAATCTGGAGAATAATTTTCCCAAATCAGCTCTTCTAGTTCCAAAGGTCTTCAGACATTGATGAGCTGTATGTAAGTCTGACCAACCTACAGCTTACTGCCACACAATATGCATTCAAATTGTCAGTCTTTCAAGTACCTTAACATTATTAAAAACCTAACTGGCATATGGAGAGCCATAGTTCTTTATAGAAGCCACACAGTTCTGACATGGCAACAGTCACGGAACACTGTAGAAAAAGGATTTAAAATGTTCAAGCCCTATCGGATGCACAACCAGGACTCCAAATTGTCATTTGATATGCTTGCGATTACACGCTTTGAAACTGGGCCCCATCCCTAGAATGATAAACTCACCCCAATATAGCATTATTTCTATTGTACCAAGATATAAGCAATTAGTAAATTATTTCATTTTCTTAAAAAAAAGAAAAAGAAAATGTTTATGATGGGTCATGCATTTAATCCCAGTACTAGGAAGGCAGCGGCAAGTAAGTCTTTTTGGGTTCAAGGCCAACCTGGTCTACACAAGTTTCTAGGCTAGCCAAGGTTACGTATGCTCTGTCTCAAGGGGGGGGGGGGATATGTGTATGGTTAAGGAGATAGCTCAGTCAATAAAGCTTATAGGACCTACCCAAGTTAGATTCCCAGAATTCTTCTTTCAAAAAAAAAAAAGCATGATAGCACATGCCTGTAAGCCCAGAACTACAGAGGAAGACACGGGGAACCCCTAGGATCTCCAGCCAGTCAGACAGCCTACTTGATGATTTCCAGACCAGTTTCAAAAAATCAGGTTGGCAGCTCCTGAGGAATGACACTGGAAGGTGACCTCTGGCCCGCAAACACACACGCATGTGCACCCACGCATAGGAACAGTCACACGAACATACACAACAAGTCATGTACACTTTAAAACTAGGGTAAGGTCAACATTATTAAGGAGGAAAAAGCATTATGCAATGGCATTTTCCAAGTTCACAGACCCCAGTCATCTGTAGGCTTGGGGACTCAAACCCCGGTAGCAAAGCATTGAGTTTTGAGGTCCCTTAGGGTGTCCTACATTTTCAGGTTACCCTCAAGCTATTTTCTCTGCCTAAACCCAGTGACAAGGAAGCTGGAAACATTGAGTAGGTGCTAGCAGCAGAAAGAACTGGAAGTCAGACTGGCCAAAGGCTACACTGTATCCACTCGGGATCTACAGCTGGAAATGACGCTCCTGCCAAGGGCACTTTCAGTTGGCCTTGGCAAGAATCTCAGGGAATACTTCTTAGATGGAAATTCCCAATGGGAGTTTGGTGGTTCATACCTGTAATCCTAGCACTAGGGAAGCTAAGGCAGGAGGATTGTTTTGAGATCAAGGCCATCCTGAGCTACAGTGTGAGACTGGGTCTCAGAAAAATAATTCAGACTGGTGCAGGTGGTTCCGTGGGTAAACAGCTCTCTGGGCAAACATGGAAACTGAGTTCAGACCCCAGTATCCATTGACAAGCCCTGTATGACTTAGCTCTGAGGACAGGGGCAGGCACATGTACAATGCATACACATAAACAAAAACATACACACATGCAAAACACACATATAGATAGACAGATAGATGCATATACCCACATATACACATACATATCTACAGACATACAAATACATATGCATACAGGCACATTATATATACACATATACCTGTGTGTGCAGACACATGCATTACACACATGTACACACACATACACACATCCCTCAGAAGAAGAGTGACTCTTACTTCATCATCCAGTAATACAGAAGTCATGCATGCTTCCGTCCCAGCCCTCCCCGCCCCCCAGAGATCTTTATCTCTCAGCTACTTCGCTCCAGCTTTTTCCTCTTCAAGACCACATGCTACCTCGGTACCTGAGGAAATACTCTCGTGTGGTGCACCTACCTTTGCTCTCTCTCTACTTGGCTCAGCAAGATGGGTCTCTGCTTTCTCCCCTTCCCGTTTGTAGCCATCCATCCCTGCTTCCAGTACACCCCGAGGTCCCTGGAGGACTCTACCTGCATATTTCAGATGCTCACTCTTTGGTGCCCCTCTGGAGTGGCACTCTGTGGCTCTGGCTGCCAGTGACGATGCCCTTGCTGAGTGTTCAGGTCCGCAGTGCTCTGAGGCTCTGACCGCGCTCTGTCCCCTCTGGCTCTACTGTCATTCTTTCATGCTGGTGTTTGCCTCGCTTGTCTTCTCTTCCTCTGCTCTTCCAGCATGTGGGTTCATGCTCACCCCTGGCTGCCAATCCCCTCCCTTCACTGACAGCTCCGATCTCTGTCACCAGGCCTGAACTCTATTCCCACATCCTTTCTGCGA